AACGCATCAATATTCATGCGCGAGAAGTATGTTTAGATTACATACGTTGAAAATGGTAAAAAATTAACGGGGGACATCTGCGCACACGCACTGGATACTTCATTTAGCTTAATTGCATTAGCAATAACAGCATTCTGATACACTTGTGTTCTACTTGCCATGTTAGTTAATGCTTGTAATACCTATTGTTTTATTACCCTCGCGAAGGTGATTTGTTGTTTGCTGTTTAAATGAGATATTACCAACTTATTTGCGTATTTTTCATCATAATCGTACATTTTTTTCTCAACACATTGCCATCTATAACCACCACTGTTTTTGAGGTTTTCACGCAGGCAGCTAAATTGGTTTGGTTGGGCACGAACAAGGCTCATTGTTTAGGACACTGCACCTCACTTTCTGTGTAAACCATTTTTGATAAAAAATCAGTGAATATCGGTTAAAAATCAACTCCGATTTCTAGCGTACATAGATTTTTTCTGATGTTAACATATTTTTTCGTCAGTTTCTTGTTGTGAAAACATTCATTTGTTTTGCGATGCTCCAAGTTTTGTTTTCACGACGATCAAATTGTTTTTCTGGTTCTCGCTTGGTTTTTGTAATGCATTATCGATACATAAATAAATCAATATACGATCTTATAGCCTCTTACCGGGTAATGATATATCCTTGTTTTATTATATTTCTCAAAAAGAATCCTGGTCATACTTACTTGTAATTAGAAGTAAAAGAGTTATTTTGCAAGCAAGTTGAATTAACCTGTAAGCATAATTACTATCTACCTTATTATATTTTGCTTCAGTTTGTGCTGAAGTACTAGTAGGAACAGGTGTCAAAATTATAGTGAACTTGAAGTTAGTGAGTCTGACGACACGGAATGTAACTGAAACTTGCAATAATCTGAAACGGCTCAATTCCGCTCGCAGCCGGCGACACATGAGGGCGTATAATACGTTTTTGCGGCGATAATTTCTAGCAGGAAGCATCGTTATGCTTTATGCGACGACGCTGTGACACTGGCTGTTGGGAAAGACATGTCATTGCAAGAATAGATAAGACAGACCCTTTAATCACAATTAATTGTATCAACTATAGTTGTCTAAATACAGTAATACCTACAGTTCAACTAAATTTAACCTTATGATTTGCGCTAGTGTATATAGATACTTGTAATAATTCATAACAAAGTTTTGAAAGTTGATAACAATTAACTACATACTACAATATTTGGCTGAAACGATCAAACGAACGAACTATAAATGTTCAATATAAGGAAAAGAAAACAAGAAAGTTTAAAATGTAGAAAGAGAGTTTTAAACATAGAATTAAATAATTTCAGGCCCTGGTAGAACTTAATCTTGAAAGCTTTTCAGTTTAACTTGAGACACATAAAACCTAAGGGGCAATGTTTCGTATTGTCACAGAATTTCACAACAGACTAAGCGGGCGGTTATGTTTGAGCTGCCCACATTCTAGGCAGCTTTTCCAACTACACATTGATGAGTGCGCAGCGACATTATATCACAAATATGAAAAAGCAGCCACTGACCACGATTCGTTTCTATTAATCCGCATCAGACCATAGAGTCAATGACGGAGACACGACTACTGATTTTCTATTCCTTAATCTCGAATTAGTTTATTGGCAATATAACTTTTTATTTTGTAATCGAAATAAAATTTTTAAACCGAATATTATTTAGGACATGATTTTTTTTTGTACCTGACTGTTGCTTGAATTAAAAGTCTTTGAAACTAGGTAGTACATGTAGTCTATGTACTGTTTAGACTCTAAAATTACAAAACAGTTAAGGACCAATCTACCTAGAAGAGCTCCTAAACAAAAGAAAAACATAAATTTTCTTAAAATAAGTAATTTTCTTATTTTCGTTAGTTCGTTTGACCTTATTTGCTGTCTCAATTTAAATAGACTTTGGTCTTGTGGATTATTAATTTAATTAATTATCACAATTTTCATGTTCGTAGCTCTATGCGCGCGCGCACGTAGCCGGGCGACGCCGGCGCCGCAGCCGATGCCAACTTGATTGACACAAAAAAACGCCAGTCTCTATTACTAGTGCTGTATCCCACGAGGAGCTCCAATATGCTACGCAGCATAACATTTGAGCTCTCTCATTACAGAAGGCTTCTAGAGTCTAAACCCAAGCCTAAAAAAACCTTAAAATAATTTATTTTGAAATCATTCTGAAATTGAGTTTATCACCATTTGCATCAAGCGTTTTATTTAATCATTGTTTTCATGAAGACCACAGACAAATAAACTCAACATCAAATAAACCGCACCTTCCGCGACGCGAACTTTAACGATTTTCTTCTGACACAATCATGGTACCCCAACAATATTGGTGTTATTTGAAAGCTCAATAAATATTCTTAAAGAAAAACACATTTTATTTCTTAATAAATGATTAACATATACCATAAATGTGACTTGAAAAAATACCTCACTTTGGGCCCACCTATGGGATCAATTAGACCAATTTTTATGGTTATAAAACCAAATAATGATCTCACGTGTCCTCTTTAACAGATGGATAGCGATTAATCCCAACTTAACAGTTTTATAGCCATAAAAGTTGGCTCAAGTTGGTTGATTTTTGGGAGTCACTGTTGATACAAATTTAAATTGGAAAGCACATATCGAATCCATTAATAAAAGAATCTCTAGTAGTTGTTATGCTATCTCAATATTGACAAATATATCATCAATTGACGTTGCGAAAAACGCTTACTATGGATATGTGTACCCCCTCTTGACTTATGGCATAATTTTTTGGGGTAACTCTGTAAATGTTGAGTCCACTTTTATACTCCAAAAAAAATGTCTGCGTATTATGTATGTATAATATAAATAAATATGTATCATTAAGAAATGTATTCAAAGACTATAAATTCTTAACTGTGACGTGTATATATATACTAGAAATATGTGTTTTTGTCAAAGACCATAAATATTTGTTTTGTAAAAAAAGTGATACTAAGCACAATCTACGTTCGCAACATAAATATAATATGTGTGTTGTAAAACCCTCTAGTTACATTTATGAAAAAAGTACATACGTAACTGGAATAAAAATATTCAATCGATTGCCAAATAATATAAAACAATTAGAGGGAATCAAATTTAAACGAACGCTCAAAGACTGGTTATTTGACAAATCTTTTTATAATTTAAATGAATATTTTAATGTAATGTAATGAATAATTTTATAATAACTGACATTGCAAAATAATAATCCAATTAATAATTAATTATGTTTTTGACAATTTATATTGTACGTCCGAAATGGATAAATTGTGTACTTTAGCATTATGTGCCTTTTATGTAACACCACTGTATCAACACAATTAACAATAAATGCTTATCTTATCTTATCTTATCAAGCGTAACTACCTATTTTTTGAAGAAGTGACTCTGGATCCTTCTAAAGACACATTTTTGGGGTAAAAACCTTTCCTTTAATGAAATGAAGGTTAGAACTAGCCTTTTAAATGGTGCCAATGTTGGTGGGCAGTGGGGATGCATACGTTTGAAAATGCTTGTCGCGGGAGGTGCGATTTATTTGATGTCGAGTGTAGTAGAAACCCCTACTTGTTTTTGTGATTTAAAAACCATTTTAATTAATATGCTCACCATACCCGGTTAACCATTACATAAATTCTCTTATGCAATTTATGTTAAATCTAGTTTTGTCAGAGATGGCCGCATTACTTAGGTTTTTCTCACAAAAGCCAGTCGCGAAAAAACCTATTGCGAGTCCCGATTCCAGGCAGGCCACAATAGTTTCAATTATTCCACAGACATGCACCCAACTATCCAATATTTCATTCCGCTAACTAAAACATGTTATTAATCATTTAGCAATAAAACAAGATTCTAATAATATAATGGGTAATTATTTCGCTTTAATTAAAATACTGCTCATTATAATCTTCTGTTTAATTATAAGACTAGAAGGTAATTATGCAATCAAAGTGATGTTTATTAATCATGATTTCGTTAATGAGCATGCTGTATTAAACACGCAATAAATTTTAGATTTAAAAAAGTGTGTTTTCTAGGAGAGGCTGAAATGTGAAGTCATTAAGTCGGTCACCCATCCGGAAAGATGACAAAAACTCGCAATTAGGCAGTGTGTCCATCGCGGCCGCGGCGCAGGCTGCTGCTGCTAGTGGACCGTGCCCGACTCGCCACTTATACCATTTCTTTTTAATTAACTTAAAAGTGTATTTACACGTCATGAAACAGAAAATATTTTTATGTTTGCGTACATGAACATTCATCATCGTTATTTGTTAAGAGATTTGACGTAGAAAAATAAGTTCTTGATATCAATTATTAAACCAATTCGTGATATAACAGCAAAAACAACTTGTAGGGAAGCTTTTTCACATGAAAATCAAACTTGGAATTCTTTTATTTGCCTTATTAATTATTTACGCATGTAAGTATCGGGGAAGGTGCCCGCGCGAGCCGCAGACCATGTGCGATGCACGAACCACTCATGATTGATGTAAAAAATTGAAATATTATACATTCTTTATTCTAAAAATGAACACACATAAATTGGACGATTCCTGCATTTCTGTGGAATACGTTTAACATTGAATCTGCATAAAAGCATAAATAATATTCTCTGATTGCTCGTCAGCGCCTTATTTATGTCTTTATGCAGATTCTGATGCATTATTCAATTGTTATTTATGTCTTAGAAAGGGTAATTAGACTTTTAACTATTAGGAAAATGTATTATTTGAAATTAATTATCAAAAAACGGGTCTCGGAATAACAATGCGGGTAATTTATCAAACGTTAAAAACCATTCCTTATTGAAAAACCCATACCTGCTGAAAAACTAGAGTCCTAATAACAAAATTATTTATTATATCGCTGATTCCATGTAAGTTAACAATTATACATTAACAAAAAATTATTTCATTCAGTTTCAGTTTCTTGCTTTGATATTTATAATTTGTCTTTAGTCCTTTTTAGTCTCTACATGATTAACGCCTGTGTCAACATTGTTTATTTATAATTTGCAAGGATAAACGCTTTTTCCTAGCGCCTGTGTGTGAACGCTACGTTAGCATATTCAACGCCTTGTACGGCGGCGAAGGAGGCAAACCTCGGCTGCATGAATGCATAATATTCCTAATGAAGCCTTTTATGAAGGAAGGAAAACTACATTGACATGAAATATCATACATTTTACCTTATACGAAGTAGTATAATTACCCATTACGTTATTCATACTAATAAAACTTATGGGTTTTTTTTTTCAATTAATGCATATTTAATGCAGTGTGAGAAAAAGTTTGATATGTATGTTCTAGAAGTAGTATACATTTTCATAAGGTTTCATCAGAGATCATTATTTTTGATGGACCATACTTAAAATTACATACCTACACTTACCGATAGTGCCAAAAGCTACAATAATTTTTCGACTGCATCCAAGTAAAAGTTTCCTTTAGTAATATGTTATCCTCATAGGAAAAATATTTGAAGAATTTTTATTATTATTCACTACTACTTTGCTGCGTTTATAATGTTAGTACTTACGTATGTATTTCATAAACCAATTTGGACTTTTTTGCAAAATCAACAAATATGTAGTTACTATACCTACATTGTTAGTAGGAAGATAGCTCAAACTACACAAGACAGAGCGGACACGTTTCCTCAATGAAAGCGCAAAAATGCCATTGATACGTCGTTCTATGAACCGGCGTTTTTCCGGCGCGGGAACGGCCGCAATTACGCGCGGGCGCCGCGCGGTGACGCCGCGTTTTTCTGCGTTATGAAAATGTATGAGAGCGGTCACTCACCGCGGCTGTCGCATGGGAAACGTATGATCGCTATGTCCACTTCCGCGGTGCTCGGCTAGGAAAAACTGTACTACGCAAATTGATTAGAGGCAAACGTTGGGACTTTGCAAGCTTTAAGGCTTGGTATTTCTTCTAAAGTAGGTATTTCGCGCTGTCAAAATCTGCGCGCGCAATTCTTCGCCGAAAACAGCGCGTCAAAGAGCTCCCGCCACAATTTCCAGCTACACAGTATAGAAATACGCAGTTNGGCGGTGGCGGTGGCGTCGGCGAGGGCGGCCGACACGGCCGAGGCAGCGACAGACGCGGAGACGGGGGCGGGGGCGGCGGGAGCCGCGGTGGTCGGGCGGGGCGGGGTGGTCCTCCGGGGGGGAGGCGTGGGGCGGGGGGTGGCGGTGGTGAGTATCCCCCCCACCGGCGGCACCGAGCGCTGCGCGGTGGCGCGGCGCTCTACACATTGCCGCTGCGGCGGCACCTCCTCCGGAGACGGCAACGGGCGCTTCTCGCTGGTCAGCGAGGGTCCAACGGGGGCTGCGGTGGTGGGGGTAGAGGGCGGGCTGCGCCCCAGGCTGTGCCGAGGGGCGAAGGGGGACACGTCCTCGTCACGACGAGACATTACTCACACACGTTAAAAGTTTGGCGAATGTTCCCAACTTGGTCGCCGGGAGACGATTCGTCCGCGCACGGCAGACGAACGTTCCTATGTTGGTCGCCGGGAGACGATTTTAAGATTGTCGCGCGGGTTTATGATTCCGGCGACGTAAACCAGCACCTCGGACCTATATAGGGGTCGAGTCGCTCGAGGCGCGAACGCGCGCTCGGAAAATTTTTGCCAAAAGTTAACTTTACTTTGTCTGTGGAATTAAAGCAACAAACTGGTAACACCGAACACAAATGTCACACAAATGTCAAACAAAATGTCAAATGTCAACAAAATGTCAAAAGTGACAGATCTGTCAAAAACGTCAGATCTGTCACCGGCACACTCTCAAACCTGTCAAAACTGACACCTGTCACCTGTCAGTGTCAGTGTCAGCCGCCACGTGCTTTGCACGCGCACCACACATAACCTCACTTTTAGCACGTTTTGAGCACGTTTTCCCTGAAAATGGCCTAAAAGGTCCGAAATTTTCAGGGACACTGAAGCGCTATGCGCCCACAACACAAACGAGCACAACACCGCGTCCTATCGCACTCCAAAAACAAAATATCCGTCCGGGCAGCTAAGCACGCGGTCAGCTGCCGGCAGTAACAAATAACGACGAAAAACACTAATTACACAGTAATTACGCACAACACAATTAGTACAGCACAACAAAGACACGGAAAACTCGCGGAAAATCGCGGAAACTCAGCGAAAAAAACCGAAAATTCGCGAAATGCGGAACCACGCGGTCCGGTACCCACGCGGCGGCCTCGGAGCGATCGACGGAGACGTCCGCACTCAACGACGACCGGCGCGCAAGTAGATAGGGACAGTGGGAATCTCGTTAATCCATTCATGCGCGTCACTAATTAGATGACGAGGCATTTGGCTACCTTAAGAGAGTCATAGTTACTCCCGCCGTTTACCCGCGCTTGCTTGAATTTCTTCACGTTGACATTCAGAGCACTGGGCAGAAATCACATTGCGTCAACACCCGCGAGGGCCATCGCAATGCTTTNGCGTGGGGCGGGGGGTGGCGGTGGTGAGTATCCCCCCCACCGGCGGCACCGAGCGCTGCGCGGTGGCGCGGCGCTCTACGCATTGCCGCTGCGGCGGCACCTCCTCCGGAGACGGCAACGGGCGCTTTTCGCTGGTCAGCGACGGTCCAACGGGGGCTGCGGGGGTGGGGGTAGACGGCGGGCTGCGCCCCAGGCTGTGCCGGGGGGCGAAGGGGGACACGTCCTCGTCACGTCGGGACATCACCAGCACTTTACAAAAGTTTGACGAATGTTCCCAACTTGGTCGCCGGGAGACGATTCGTCTGCGCACGGCAGACGAATGTTCCTAAGTTGGTCGCCGGGAGACGATTTGGAGATTGCGTCGCGGGTTTATGATTCCGGCGACGTAAACCTGTACCTCGGACCTATATAGGGGTCGAGTCGCTCGAGGCGCGAACGCGCACTCGATTCAGGGAGTACTCGATTCAACCTTGCACAAAGTTTTATGTTATGTTTAGTCTGTGGTGAACCTGGCAACACCGAAACAAGACAAAAATGTCAAAAAGCTGTCAATGTCATGCACACTCTCAAACCTGTCAGGCTGACACCTGTCACCTGTCAGTGTCAGTGTCAGCCACCACGTGCTTTGCACGCGCACCACACCTAACCACACTTTTTGCACGTGTTTCCTGAAAATAGCCTAGACGGGCTGAAATTTTCAGATAATCCTGTAGCGCTATGCGCCCACAACACGAACAAACACAACACCGCGTTCTATCGCACTCCAAACACAAAATATCCGTCCGGGCAGCCAAGCACGCGGCAAGCTGCCGGCAGTAACAAATAGCGACGAAAAACACTAATTACACAGTAATTACGCACAACACAATTAGAACAGCACAACAAAGACGCGGAAAACTCGCGGAAAGTCACGGAAACTCAGCGAAAAACCGATAACTCGCGAAATGCAGAGCCACGCGGTCCGGTACCCACGCGGCGGCCTCGGAGCGATCGACAGAGACGTCCGCACTCGACGACGACCGGCGCGCAAGTAGATAGGGACAATGGGAATCTCGTTAATCCATTCATGCGCGTCACTAATTAGATGACGAGGCATTTGGCTACCTTAAGAGAGTCATAGTTACTCCCGCCGTTTACCCGCGCTTGCTTGAATTTCTTCACGTTGACATTCAGAGCACTGGGCAGAAATCACATTGCGTCAACACCCGCGAGGGCCATCGCAATGCTTTGTTTTAATTAGACAGTCGGATTCCCCTTGTCCGTGCCAGTTCTGAGCTGACCGTTGAACGGCGGTCGTACAGAACCGCGCCGATCGCGCACGAGACGAAACCGACACGGCCTTACGGCTAGGAAGATCCGCGGAAGGCCGGAACGCGGGTCCAGCTTCTGCCCAGACACCTCCGAGGAGGGCTGAGCGTCCACCAGGCCCGGCACCGGCCGCCTCCGCTTCCCGTCCAAACCCGACACGCCCCGGTCCTCAGAGCCAATCCTTATTCCGAAGTTACGGATCCAATTTGCCGACTTCCCTTACCTACATTATTCTATCGACTAGAGGCTCTTCACCTTGGAGACCTGCTGCGGATATGGGTACGAACCGGCGCGACTACTCCGCGTACATCCCTCACCTGAATTTTCAAGGTCCGCAGAAAGTAGACCCAACTGACCCCCCGATCCCGAAACCCCCGAGGCTCCTCGATTGGCTCTGTGCGCTCCAAATTCGATCTAAGGGACGGCTGGCATACCTCGAATGTTATGAGGCGATGATCGGATGTGCTGGCCTCCGGGTGCACTCTCCATTTGGAGATGCGAATTCCCCTTGTGGACAAAGTGAGATCCACATTGGACTCGCCGTTGGCAGTGCTGAAGGTCGCTGGCTGGTCTTCAGTGTTGTGCAGTAGGAGGGAGCGGCCTAGGATAAAATCCTCAACCGCGTCCCTGCGGTGGTCTTCAACGCGGCCTCGGCCGCGGCACTGCTCCTCGCTACAATGCCACATGACAGAGTGGGCATTGCTGTCCACGCCTATGATGACGCACTTGCCGCGTAGGGCCTCCATTACTGTCTCCAGGTGTTGAAGGTGCGGGTCGATGCTGTCGCCGTACTTGAAGTAGGCCGATACCAGGTAGGCATCGACCTCCCGCACATGCACGACGAAGCAGTCGACCGTGGAGAGATGGTGGAGCGCAGCGACGGTTAGGTCCGGCCGGCAGACGAAGACGCCCGCACGGGAGGTGGGGCCGGTCTGGATGATGAGCTGGGACCTCGAGTATTGTTCTTGGGTTAGAACGATGTCGAGTCCCAGCTCGCGCGCCAGCGCCGGCAGCTCCTCCGTGGCAAGCGCCGCGCCCGCCAGGTTGATCTGCCCTACCTGTAGTGTCCCGCTAGCGAACATTGTAGCGTGTGGCGGCTACCATGCGGCTCTCGGCGAATACTCTCGCAGGGCACTGCGGAGATGCAGTGGTATGTCCCTCTGCACCCGGCTTCTTGAAGCGGGTGCAGGTCGCGCAACGTGGTGTCTCCGCAGTGCAGTCGGCGGAGCGGTGTTCTGTACTGCAGCATTTGCCGCAGTACGCTTCGGTGGATCGGCAGTACCGCTCTGGGTGCCCGTACAGCTGACACTTGGTGCAGCACGTCACGGCCACGAAGTCTTCGACGCGGCAGACGTCCCACACCAAGTACACCGTTCCCTGACGTAGGAGACGGGCGCGTAGGTCCGGAGTCACCTCCAGAATGACTGTCGTGTCACGGCTGCGCGGGCGGTTCTTCTTAAAAGCCCCTTACCCTCCTTTTTCAGGCGGGCAAGGGGCCATTCTGCATCCAGCTCCAGGTTTTGCTCGTGAAGCATGTCCAAAAAGTCATCGGTCTTCACGTCAGCAGACAGGCCATGGATGGCCACTCGAGGCAGGCGAGGGCGGGGCTCGACCACCCGCAGGGTGTCAGGGACCGCGGCCCTGAACCGGTTCGCGGCCTCGACGCTGGTGGTCTGCACCACCACTCCGGCGTTGCCGACCTTGCGGACATGCTCCACCTGCAGACGGGTCGTGCGCGGGTTGAAGGCCTGTTTCAAGGCCGTTTTGGTCTCCTCGGCGGTCTTGATGCTGGTGTTGGCCTCCGCCGGGTACACGGCCAGGACGGGGCCACTGGGGGCGGGCATTGGGTACTCCCTGGCGGAGGTCTTGATCATCTCTGCGAAGGTGGGGCGGCGCGGGGCGGCTTCCGATGGTCCTGTGGGGGGGGCTGACCTGACTGCGCCCAGCTGCGCGCACAGGGCCTCCAGCTCACGCTCCTTCGCCTCAAGCAAGGCGTTGGAGTGGGCCAGCTGCCTGCCCAGGGTGTCGGCGCGCGCAACCGCATCCGCAGCTCGGAAGCCCGTCGAGCCCTGGATGGCGAGAGCCTCCTGGGCGATGGCGGAGATGAGGCCGATGTCGGCCTTGTTGAGCTTACTGCCCGGGCCGTTTACCACCGCAACCGACTTCTTGAGGATGGTGTCCATGCGGGCGTACAGCTCGCCGATGGACGCCGAAGTGAGCCAATTGTTTGGCTCGACGTCAGCCGGCGAGTATGCGGGCGCGGTGTCGTTGGCGGTGGCGGTGGCGTCGGCGAGGGCGGCCGACACAGCCGAGGCAGCGACAGACGCGGAGACGGGGGCGGGGGCGGCGGGAGCCGCGGTGGTCGGACGGGGCGGGGTGGTCNATTGCTTCGAGAAAAGGATGGTACGGCCGTGCCGCTTTTTTGCTCGAATTGGTGGGGGCACTGCCGTGCCCCCAGATAAATGGTATGGTGAAGTCAGAAATTTAATATCATCATTTTAATTTTTTTAATTTTCATACAAAATAAATTTTATAAAATCGATTTGTATGAAAATAAAATAATTAAAATGAAGATATCAATTTTCTGACTTCACCATACCATTTATAAATATGACCATGTTAACATGGGCTAGTGTCGGCTCA